AGACAGAGGAAAGCAATGCATAACATACTTAATGAGCTTGAGTATGGTGGAACAGGGTTTAGCAGAAATAACAGAAAGACAAAATTTATTACAATCTACAAAGAACAGGAAGTTGTGGAGAGCTATAATCGCCTACATCCTGAAGAGATAGTACACATAAACAAGAAGTAGCATAAATTCAGATCCATTGGAAATAGGACCATCAATAAGTGAACAGTAATAAAAAGAGAACAAGATGGGATATCCATAGACTTGGACATCAGAATGAAAACAGTCCATCTTTATAGATTAAATTAGTTCAGTTTGAAATCCCTTGAAGGTTGCCTGGATCAATAGACAATCAAAATTGCTCAACCATCAGCTAGCGTCATTTAACGCTAAGCTACATGTCAGGAGTAATTTCACGCACATCAAGTGATAATGTTAACACATTTTGAGCCTATAATTAACAAGTAGAAAATACCAGACTTTAACTGTAATTACAATAGGATGCTGAAAAGTTCCCAGCTTGACCTACATCTCCACAACTGACCAATTTTCTTTTTCCCCATTTTAGTCAGCACCCTTTCCATTATCATTGCTGAAATTTAACAAAATATTTGAAATATGAAATCCAGTAAAGAAAAAAAAAAAAAAACACTGATGTTTTTATTAAAACAGAAGGCACTATTTAAAATCTATTTTCTGGTTCAAAGTACTTCTGAGTATCCAACGTCACCACCCAAAATCATTATATATGTTTACAACTCAATCTCTCCTACAAATATGGTCCTCCTCTATTTTTCTTTCTCAAGCAAAATAAGTAGGAGGAAATGTAAAGAGATAAATCTTGGCTGAGCCAAGTAAACACTAATTCTGGATGCTACTATTGCAACATGAACCTTAAAACTCCCAACTGAAAAACATAATGCAAAAATGTGTTTGTATGTATGAAATGTATATAATTTACACACACATAAAAGCTGTCCTGGGCATGACGATAAACTACATCTGCATCCTGGGCAAGACGATAAACTACGCCCAACAGCAAGGCCTCTGATCAGGAGGTTCTGAGGAGCATGGAACCACCTCTTAATTGCTGTTCTCAGGTCTACCCTGACCTGGGGTTGTAGCACCTGTTAGGGTCCCAGCTATGGGTAAATAGTTAACCCCCAAACTGATGACACAACACTATGAAAATGTAAAAATAGATTTTAATACCAGAAATACTTTGTAAAAAATTATTACCAGCAATACACTTTTGAAAAAGAAAAAAAAAATTACCATCAATAAAAAATATTGTTGGCTTTAAATAACATATTGAGGTTGATATACCGTAAAACAAACCAAACACATAAAAGTTATAAAACCAAACAAAAAAGTAAAAAATTTAGAATAGAAAAAATAAAGATGGTGTCAGTTGTAACCAGCTAGAAGAAAACCTAATGATTAAACTATGGACTTCCAATTTTGTTTTCATTTTATCATTTTTTCTCTTTTACTTCAATCTTTTTCTCCACTTTCATTCAATTTTTCAATCCTATTTTTGTCATTTCTAAAATCTTTTTCTCATTACCTTTATTCTCCATTGTTCTGTCATCCCTTCATTTTTTTCACTGTTACTTTTTTTTTTTTTTATAATGCTCTTTCTCGTGCTTTCTCTTATATATATATATATATATATATATATATATATATATATATATGTCATCCACAGACAGACTGGTTCACAGCTCATCAGTGTGGCTAGACATCCGATTGCCTCAAGCCAGGATCAAAACCCGACTGATTTCTTATTTTACCCCTAAGCCATTGGCACACAGCAGGGATAAAGATGAATTTAAATGTATTTATTTTTAGACAAACACACCAGTGACCGGAGAACTAGATTTGTTTTAATGAAGAGTAAAATGTCATACTTATTAAAAGAGAAAGTAACATACAAGAGTACCACTATTGAATCTTATCAAAATATAAATATATGCACTAGATTTATTTCCAATATCTCTATTTCTGAAAGAATTACTACTTTTCCAGAACAAGATACATGACCACAAAATTTTTAAAAATTGAAAGAAAATGGTTAACTCCTTTACCTCATGTTATTTAAATAAATTAATCCCTATTTAAATACTTATTTGAAAAAAAAAAAAAAAAACTTTTCAAAAAAAAACTTACTGACTTTCACTTATTAGACATTGAATTGTGTCATGTCGAGTCCTACATTGCTTGCCTGACTTTTCAGCTGAGCTGGTGAATATTTATCAGTGTTCCTAAACTTAAAAATTTTGAAAAATCAATAACATTTTTGCTCTTGTATATAAATACTTGTTACAAAATAAAATCCTTGCATTTGCTTTGATAAAGCTCCTCAGAAGACAAAATGTATAGGCTAAGTTTGTCTTTAAATTCATATTAACCGTTTACAGATACATTATCTGAAATTTTTACATACATACATACACACACACACACAAGTGTGTTGAATATATTTCATTAAAGAGAGAGAGAGAGAGAGAAGATAACACAAACTGTACTGTCACATGAAGAGACCAAGACATGACATTTGAAAATGAGGAAAATGATATAGAACAAAATACAAAAACTATTTGATAATGTTTAAAATATAAAAAAAAAAATGGGTTGTCTATTTCAACTATAGGTATCCAATAAAAATAACATTTGAAGTAAATTGCACCCAAAAAGTTATGCCCTCTCCAAGGTGCAGACCAGGGCAGGATTTTTAGGAGAGATTGGCAGTTACTCATGCAGCACATCTCCCCTTTCAACGCCATCAATGGTTTCCAAGGGAAAGGCAGAACATGGCACCAACATTGTCACAGAAGTCTTAAAGACAGACCCCAGATTTGAATTCAGAGTTGTCAACCATGGCTACTGAGCACAGCTTACCCTACTATTTTCTCTTAGACTGGTTGCCACCCATGGTTATAGAATCCAGTCTGTCCTGTTATTTACCCATAGCTGGTGGGGAGGAGAGATGGATTCATACCTTTCCCAAGCATGTAAATGAATGTAATGGAATTCAATCTTGGCTCAGATTTCTCAACCCAAGCCGAACTGTAATACATTACTCCACCATGCTTCCAATATTCATCTTTAACTAAATGTTATATATTACACACACACACACACACACACACACACACCCTTAATCATTACCTAGGTTTTTACCATTAGGCGTCCTCAGGCGGTAGAGTAAATTTAGTTTTGTAGTGCCTTGTAATTCCTTTTTATTTGGGAGAATTACTGAAGAAAGTGAGTGCGAAAAAAAATTTCTTTTTTTTCATCCAGGTTCGTAAATGCCAAGGATGTATTTATTTATATGTCTACACTTTAACATTATTTTTGATCATTTGTTTAGTAGTTGTTTTCTATCCAAATGTATTACAATAGTCAACTTTTCCTCTTGGCACAATCTATAACTGCTGCCTCTAGTTCACCCTGATTTCACTTTTTTCAGTATACACCACCTTACATCTGGACTTATTTTTCTTTCAATTTCCAGATATAGTCAGCAAGTTTCATATCATACCTATGGTTTTGTAGTTTGAATGAAGAAACCTGATTGTACCATCTTTTGTTGTTTTTGAAGGGTCCTTTGGTGTATTCTACATAAATTCTTTTTTGTCCATCCACATCTTCAGCTTGATAAACCATATTTTCTGTATAACAGGCTCCATTCAATGGACATTTAGTTTTGTCTCTGCAATTACGACATTTGTTGATATCACAATCTACCCTCAGATTCTTTGTATTTTGCCCCTTGATAATGTTATCCAAATTTCCAGTACAGCTGTAACTTAGTTTTACAGTGTTGCCGTTGAAAATTTTTGACAATTCTGAAGGTTTTTGGAAATGTTTCTTGATTAGATTAAGGAAAACTTTTCCTTAAAATCTTTCACTTGCAAATTGAATTGGGAGGGGGTTTGAACCATATTATATTTCTTTTGTTATCTTTTGTATTTATTTGATTAACTTGGGGATTAAATTTTAGGTCATTTTTATCCCAGTCTCCAGTTAAAAAGGAATTACCAGGTGCTAGAAAACTAAATTTATTCCACCACCTGATGACAGAAAACCTAGGTAGTCATTAAGGGTAGATATTGTCACATTTGATAATTTTAATCTGCTCTACACATTCTATTTTCAGAATAGTGTATTGAGAACTCAATTTATATTTCCATGTTTGGCTTGAGATTACACCACCCAACAGTAAACTTGGTGTGTATGTGTATGTAATAATATATATATATATATATATATATATATATATATATATATATATATATATATATATATACACACACACAATTCTCATTCTGTTTGTCTCTCTCTCTCACTGTTGTTACTTGCTACTTAAGAAAATATATATTTCCTAATGGAAAATTCCCAATTTTATTTGTATTTGGTATCATGTTTCTTTTAAGGTATAACTATTTGGCAATTACACTAAGGAATAATTTACAGAGACCATCTTTAAAATACCTAGTCCTTCCTAATCCACTTCTGTATTTAATGTAGTCTTTCTCTAACTGTTCAGTTAACAGAGCAATGAAATAGAGAGCCTAAGAACTCGAGTTTAATTGAACCTGCTACCTATTCAGCATATTGCTTACACTGATTGTTGTTGCAATAAAAAGTAGAGTATCTCTTTAACAGACCATTACCAACAATAAGGAGCAGACTAGAAACAGCTAACTGGAATCAAAGTACTACATCCTTGCTAGAACACTGGACCAATGAATCAATTTTAGCAAAGTTTAAAAAAAAAAAAAAAAAAAAAAAAAAAAAATTAAAATATGAATGGTAAACAAATTTCTATATTGTTAAGCCTTAAATTTTTATATCACTAACATTTATTCTAGAAACACTAGGACATGTTGGCAGTGTGAAAACAAAAGCATTCAAGCTTTTTTTTGTTTATATATATATATATATATATATATATATATATATATATATATATATATATATATATATATATATGGGCTTATGATCATGTTGAAATACCGGTTCTTGTAAAATCACCAAAGTTAAGCAATGTTGAGCCTAGTCAGTACCTAGATGGATTACCACTTAGGAATACCAGGTGCTGTAATCTTGGGAATGCAGATAGTGTAATGGATAATGGCTCTTAATTGTAAATCGGGAGTCGAGTTCCAATTGCAGTTGGGTTCATTATATTCACTTACGTACAAATGGGAAAGTCATGATTTCTTTTCTTTCCCCAAAGATATGGGTTAATTAATAAAGTTGTATAAGTAAAAAAAAAAAAAAGAAAAAAGAAAAAAATTCTTATAATTTAAAAGTATACTCTTCTGGGAGTTGAACCAATGGACCACCATTTGAACTGCTTCAATTCTTCTTGGCATGGATTCAACAATGATCTGGAAGTATTCTTTAGAAATTTGGGTTCATGTTACTCTTGTAGAATCCCACAGACCTTTAAGTTTATTACTTGGTTGCTCATCCAGGATTCAAATCTCTTTTCCACCACATCATCTATCGGATTGAGAAGATGTAACTATGGAGGCCACTTTAACATAGAAAATTTGTTACTGTGTTGAATTGTGACACAGTGTACTGTTATAAAAGAAGTGTCCACTAAGGATGGATGCACTGTAGTCATAAATGGAGGCATGTGGTCAGCCACAATACAGAGGTAGGCGGCAGCATTAAAATAATCAAGAGTCCCAAGAAAATATTCCCCATACCACAACCAACAGCCTGATCCATGGGTAGAAGGCAGGATGGATTATTACTTTCATGTTAACACCAAACTTCTAGCCCAACCATTTGAATGTTGCAGCAGAAGTTAACACTCATCAGAGCAAGCAATATTTTTCTATTCTTCTATTATCCAATAGTGTTTGAAATAGACACACAGTTTTTGTTTTTACTTTAAACATTATGTATTACATCTACTTGCCTGCACACTCAAGAAAACTTAATAGAGGAAATGTGCCTCCAGCAGGTTTTGAACCTGCTTCCCCAGTATACTCTATTTCCAAAATGGGTATCCACTAATAATAATGTTTGAAGTAATAAAAATGTTAGATTAAAAATAAATCCATTAATTCTTTAGAAATATTTCTATTTGTGTATGTGAAAAAAAAATGCATAGATTGAAACAAATCTTCAAATAATAAGTGTGTATGTGTATATATATATATATATATATATATATATATATATAATGTGTGCGTGAATATGAACCCATACAATAGATACACACAAAATATATTTACACTCAAAATATATATATATATATATATATATATATATATATATATATATATATATATATATATATATTACTGATACATATAAACACACAAAAAAGAACAAAGGTGGTTTTTGATTATATTAAGCAGATAAAACGAAATTCTGTCAACAATAACTACAAAAAAAAGTACAGTGAAAATCTGTTGACTTCAAAAGGAACACATTATGGAAAATAAATCAAAACCTTTGATTTATAAAATATTTGGTTGCAGCTGTTTCAATTTTTCCTATAAAAGTGCCCTTTTTCATTATTATTATTATTATTATTGCTGTTGTTCTTCATCATCACCTCTACTATATTATTATGACTTGTAAAGTTATGATTATTCTAGTAACACAAAAATTTCATTCCCAAAAGCAACAAGCACAATTTCAAACCTTTACAGAAAATACCAATTTCCACTGATTACAAGAAAAATAAGATTAAAACTTTTCATGTAAAGCATCAGTTTAATCTACCAATTAACTTTATTTGAAAACATTATGCACACTTAATCAAAAACTATATTTCTTTAAATTAATAGTGATGTCTTGATTTGTAATAAGATTTTTCATATATTTATCAAGTTATCAGTTTATTATAATTATCAAGCCAGACATCAATTTATCATCGAGTAAGCTTATCAGATCAACCATTTTCATAGTTTAGTGTTATGATAATTTTATGCAGCAGTGAGGAAAAAATTTTTATGTAAATACTTAATCTATCAAATGTTTTTATTTTTAAAACTTTAAACTCAGTTTAAATTTTTGAACTTGAAATTTTGGTACAAAAGCTGCTTTTCCTAAGGTGGCATTCCTATTAGCAGGTGCATATTGAAAATACTGTATTGCCATTTGGTGAATAAGATCTGGATTTTGCAGTAATTTTCTATTTGGTCTCTCAATATCATGATGAAGTGCACAGTTACAGTTTTGCTTTCTTACAGTTAATCCAGGTAGCTTTTTTTCTACATGCACCACTTGGGGTTTCACTGCTTAAGTTCTTTACCTCCCTTAGTAAAGCATAATCAAAACTATCATGCCAAAGTAGAGTCACTTAGACCACCCAAACAAAAAGTATACTCTACATTCTCCATCTACACTAATATAAAAGGGCTTACAGTTTAACTATCTGGAAGTTGAAATACAAACCTGATCCTACATATCCTCATAATAGCAATATTTCAAGAATATCTTAAATATGGCACAAGGCCGAAAGTATGGGGCACCCAGTGAGGATCGAACTCACTACTCATTCATAATTGTGCTAGCGAGACAAGCTTGCTAACCATTACACCGCCTCAGGGTGCCCTGCATATCCTCATAATATGGACATTTTGGTTCCTCCCCATAACACTTCAATTAGTAATCCTCTACATTGAGTCACTCTTGTGCTTTGTATTGAGTAAACAATAGTTAAAAAAGGTTTAGAAACCACCTTACATAAAATTGTGAATGCAACCATATATATATATATATATATATATATATATATTAAAAAGAAGGGAGAAACAACAAACCTTTTTGGTTGTAATGTGGATTTTTTTAAAAATATATATTATGCTTTATTTTCCATAATCCTGCAACATGGGTTTCAGGTCTCACAACCTTCTTCAGACAAAGAGTGGCTATTTCAACATATTATTAAAATAAATTAATTTTCCTTATGTTTTTTGATGTTAAACATTCTTTTTTTTTGTGTGTGGTAGTGACACAAATGTCTTGTATTTCTTGTAATATTATACACAAGTACATGTTTTCTGAAATTTTTACTCACCTTAAAAAACCTCTTATTTGAAACAAAGGTTGCAAATACACTCAGCACAATAGGTAATAAAACACAAAAGTAGGCAGGTATTGATAACAATTGCTTAAAAAAGGACTTGTTTTGTATAATACAACTCCATGGTAGAGATATCCCTATGTAATGTTTTTTAATATGTTGTACTATATTTTCCTGTCAAATTTCAATGTCATATTCACATAAATTATGAAACTTTGTAATTTAAAATTACAAGTACCAGTGTACACTATTTATTTAGGGATATAATCATGTCAGGGTTATTTACATATCTATTTTGTATTATTTTCCTCAAATTATTTCAAGTTTTTAAACTGAATACTTTCTGTCAACAAATGGAGGAATATGCAATAAAAACCTCACAGCATCAGGAATTATCACCCCATTTTTCAAGTGTAAAAAAACTGAAAAAAGTGCATAATTTATACAATAGTTAGACCTTTCTTGTAACATTAATGTTATCAAAACATGACAGTGTATTCTCTTTATTAATTTTTTTTTTTTAATCAATTTTGATGAATTTCCTGTCTTTGAAACAAAAGACATTCAATTGTGCTGATTTGCAAAGAACAAATATTGCTGACATATCAAATAATTTTTGCAAACAATTGTTATCAATACTAGATAATAAATGGTTTAGCGAAAAAAATCTTACTAATTAGCTGGAGGTGGATATTTACATGTAAGTGAACATAAACTCAACAGAAATTGAAGCTCGGCTCTCCTATTAACAATTTCAAGCCATTATCCATTACATCACTTGCACATACAAGCTTAAAGCACCTGTTATTCCCAAGCGGTCACCCATCCAGGCTTGACATTGCTTAACTTCTGTGATCATACAGGAACCCATTTATCAACATAATGTAGCCATAAGCCCTAGTACAATTTTGACTTCTGTTCTTTTGTTCTTGTTCTGCACATCTTACAGACCAAAATCTTTTTTCTACGAGGACAGGTAAAGGATTTGCAACATTCTGAATATGTAAAGTGGATTTTTACCATTAGATATCCTACGGTGCCTACCAAATGTGTTATCAGATTCAAAGTTCTCAACAGCAGTCCTGTTACAACTTATGCTGCAATGTAGTACTTTTTTTGTGGTAAGATAAGACTCTTCATTCTTGTGTATGCCATGCTGAATTCAAATCAGGATTAAAGTTGGCTACATTTGAAGGCACAATACTAAATTTTGAATTGACTTTCTTTTTATAAATAACTTAAGTGAATCCACCTTATTTTAAAAGTAACCCCAAAAATAATGAAATTCAAAATTTGGTAGTACTAGACTTTCAAAAGTAGCCACCACCCTCAATTTAGCAACTTTGATTTGAATCAAAATGAAAATCAATCAAGATTAATAATGATCTTAGAAGCTATTTTAATCTGGAATTAATACCTAGTGAATTTATATCTATCTAGTTGGAAGGAAAGTTTGTTTTTTTTTTGCAGTTTTTAAATAAATTTAATGTTCTACAAACCACAAGAACTTTCATTCCAATAAGATAATCGCTACATCTACCAGAACTATTTCTTTTCTTTTACAAAATACAAGGCCCAAGAGCCACTCAAAGTATATGGTTACTGTATGGAGTTGTGTAAGAAATGACAAGCATGAGGAGTAAGGAGCTGAAGTACACTAGTACTAGTAGGAACTGAAAATCCAATCCTAAACAGGAAACAAGGAATAAACCTCTACTCTTGTTCAAAAAGATAGAGAAACCGGATGATAGACGTTTCATCTTTACTATACCTATTAATCTGATTTTGGTTCATATTAATCTTACAATAAACATATCTAAACATCCATCAATTTTTATCCTTTTATACAACCGACATCAATTGTTACATTCATATCTTGTTTCAACCAAATTACCTAAATTTATCAATGCCTGCTTTCCAAATTATAAATAAAAAAAAACTGTTCTATTTCAAAGACTTTTTTCTAAGTACCTTTCTGTATTCAACATACTTTGAGTCATGCTCAAGTAATCTATTATATTACTTCAAGCAGTGACTCAATATAGATGT